TGTCAGTTTTTAGAGAAAGAGAGATGGAAAATTTGGCCCTCTGTGAAGGCACGGGGCTGAAGCAGGCCCAGAACCCTTTCTAGCACCAGGGTTTCTACTGACAGATGTGTTTGACGTTCACTGTTAGTGACCTGAGCACTTCTGCCCTGGCCAGAGCCAGCCGGGCACAGCACTCACCACATGTGCACGGTGTGGGTAGCGGGTGCAGGGGACTCTCCCCAGCGGGGCTGAGCGGGGCCCCGGCACAGATGGGCCAGCGTGCGTGGACGGATGGTCACCCTGCCCTGCTGCTCTCTCCCTTCCAGTGAGCAAGAAGTTGAGCACATATGATTACGTGATCTGGGGCCGTCAACAGCGCAATTTGGCTGCATCGCAGACAAGAGACAAGGCCTCACAGGTGGGATTGCTACAGGTACCACCATCTGTCCTTCCCCACCCGGGCTCACGCGGGCAGGAGGCCCAGGTCACCTGGCAGCCAGCACCTCTTCACCGCAGTGCTTGTTCCTGTGTCGGCTTGTGCACGTGTATGTGCCTGTGTGTGTGCGTGTGTGGTGTGTATGCCTGTGTGTTTGGCGTCTCGTGTGCACGTGTGTGTTGTCATTTCCACACTCACTCACCACAGGATCAAAGCACAGGGCTCACCTCTTGCAGGCCCCCCATTTCTGCAGCTGATCTGCATCAAAATGAAAAGCATTTACTCTTCAAAGGTCACCACTAAGAAAGTGACAATATAAGCCAGAGACAGAAATTATTTGCAAGTCATATACTTGCATCCGGAATATGTATACAACTTTCAAAACTAAGTCACAAGAAAAATGGCCAGTTTTTTTTAAAAAGGGCAAAAGACTTGAACAAGCCGTTCACCCAGGAGGATCTGTGGGTGGCAGATAAGGTCAGGAAAAGACAGTCAACATCATTCAATGCTAAGGAAACAAATTAAAAGGGCAATGAGACACCACCACACACCCATCAGCGTGGCCGGAACCAGAGACCCACATTGCTGGTGGGGATGTAAAATTGCCCCGCTCTGCACAGAAGTTTGGCATTTTCTAAAAAGGGGAATTCAAATTTCTCATGTGACCCAGCCAGCCCGCTCCCTGTTCCTATCAAAGTGAAGACACGTCTGCATGTTACAGGGGTTGAGAGGAGAGCTGCCTGCGGTGAGATCCTGTCCCAGGACCCAGGAGAGTCTGAGGTTCCATTGCTCAAAATCAACTAAAATTAACTTGAATTTTGAATAAGAAGAAGCTCAGTGTCTACCACTTGTTTTTCACTGTATGAATTTCCATTTATTCCCACAGAAGGCACATAACAGCCTGAGTTCATCTGTACGTGGGTAAGTCATAATCATACTAGTTTTGTGTCTGAAAAATAGCTATTTCTCTTCTTAACTGGCTTGCTTTAAATTTTGTTGTTATTGTTAATGGAAGTACTGGGGGTTGAACTAGGGCCTCATGCACACGAAGCACGTGCTTTGCCACTGAGCTGTATACCCCTCCCACCCCTTAGCTGGCTTGCCTTAGAAAGTCTTTCTTGCTCCAAGGACTACCCTCCACATTCTTTGCTAGTATTTTCATAATTTTTATTTGCTTTCTCTACATTTTGGCTTTCAAGTCATCTTGAACTTAATTTCGTATTCACTGAGATAGGGGCCAAGGGGTTTTATTACAGCATGACTATTGGTTGCACCTCATTGAAGAAATGAAACCCCTGTTCTCATCAAACTGCAAGGCCCTCTTTCTGATACCCCGAGTTTCCGTGGGCTCTGGGCTCAGACCCGCTGTGGACGTGTGGGTCTGCCCCGCTGCCGCGGGTCCTGCGGGAACGCCCTGGTGCTCCGGCGGGACTTCTTTTAGCTGCCTCTTTTTATCTAGCAGTTGAGAGCCCCCTTAAGACTTTTGTTTTTCATTACATTTGACAAAGCTTTCACATGTTTGTTTTATCATATAAGCTTGAAAGTCATTTTGCGCAGTTTCAAGAAACCTGGAATTTGAGCTGGAGTTACATCAGGTGCTCAACTTTATGAGGTGGAGGGGGTGGCGTCAGCCTGCCTCCCCACCTCCACAGCTCAGCATCCTGCAGAGAACCAGCCGGGAAGTCAGTCTCCCGGTGACGGTGACGGGCGGGGCCGAAAGTGCGGGCGCACCTTCCCCACTGTGCTTGGAGCTCCAGCCATCCTGGCGGGGAAGATGGGCCAGGGTCCGGGGGCTTCACTCCTCCCCACCCTGCAGCCCAATGGGCAAAAAGACTTTGTGAGTCAGAAAAGGGAGAAGTCCCCATTAGTCCAGTTTCTGAAAAGCTGAGTTACTGCAGATCTTTGCTGAGTTTAATGATCCAGGAGAACAGTTGAGTATGGAAAGACCATTCCCTTTCAATTAACCCGCTGGTTTTTCCTTCTAAACTTGTTAGAAACCTGACTGGCACTAGCACCATGAACACCTAAGTCATTTTGAATTTCACTTTCAAGTCTCGTTAACTGTGGTTCTTTCAATAAAATCTAAGAACATTTTCCATTTACCCCTTTCTGGCAAGAATGATAGAAAACTAACTGGAACCAGGGTGGTAACTTACACTCTAAAACCCAACCTAAACAAAACCAAAACCTTTTTTTTTCAGATTAAGTCTAATCAATGCGCGCTCATTATAGACAATTTGGAAACTGCAGAACTTCCCAGTGTGGAAATGCGTACCCCTAACTGCTCCCCGCCCACCAGCAGCCATTGTGGGCGTTTTGATTAGTATCTTTCAAGTCTCCCTTTTAAATATTTTTCTGTGCATTATATGCACAATGTTTTGTTTTATAAAATTATGATCATACTGTAGAACTCTTTAGAAGCCTTTAAAAAAACTCCATATATTGTGAACCTTGTCTAAAGAAAAAACAAGATTTTTATGAATGTAAATTACTCCATCTTTGGGAAGTACCACATTCCTCATTTGGGGAATATTATTTCTTATTATCAACCCGGCCTTTTGCAACAGGGAAATGAGTGAACCTTACTTACCGAGAGGATTAGCTATGTGAGGAGTGTGGCTCAGCACCGCGCGCGTCTGCAAGCCCTCCAGACCCCGCAGGCACTGAAACGCCAGTGGCCCTTCTTGTCGCAGAAATGTCTCTGTGGTGACCTGAGAGTCAGGCTGGTGGCCAACCTACAGGGGCTCACAGCCGGATTTGGGGGGAAGTTTGCCGTGCACGTCAGAACTCAGGCCTAGAGACGTGGGAATACGTTTAAATCGTGGTGCTGGGCTAATACCAGAAAGAAAACTCACGCGGTGGAGTAAGATGGCGTGTTTCAGCGGAATCTCCGTGGAGAACTTTGCCAAATGGGTCTCTGGTAGCTGGTGTCACACTGACTGAGTGGCAGCACTTCTTCTGGGCTGTTCGCCTGCCGGGGCAGCGTGAACACAGCCGACTGCAGTAGCTGACCAGACAGGATGGAAATGAAAGGGAGTCTCTTTGTGTCCAGTTTAGAGGGGTCCCCTTCAGCTAGCGTCCAGACATAGCGAAGTCCACCGATTTAGAGGCTTAAAACAAGACTCACTACCGTATGGTCCCCAAGGGTCACAGGCTGGTGAGCCCGATGGGGCCTCTGGTCAGTGCTCCTCAGGACAGCAGTCAGGGTTCACAGGGCAGCATTCTTTTCTGCAGATTTAAGGGAAGAGTCTGCTTCCAGGCTGACTTGGAGCGTGGACAGTCTATTATGTCCTCCTACGGCCACGCTGCCCCTCAGTCCCCAAGTCGGTGACAGCAGGTCAAGTCCTCCTCATGCCTGAGGCGCCTCTGACTTCCTCCTCCTCCTTCAGAGTCTCCTACCTGGAAACAGAGGACAGTCCTAGAGCCTCTGCAGGAAGTTGGCACAGGCCCCCAGGGATGCTGTGGCCCTGGGGCATGTCCCCGCGCGTTTGTACAGGAGCCGGGCGGCGCTGTACCCAAACTTGAGTGCGTGGCCCCGGGGGGCCCGGGAGCAGAGGGCCCCTCTGTGGCACCCCCTGGCAAGCAGTCACAGGGCTTTACACGTGCAGCCGACTCGGGCACACAAACAACTCCCAGGGCCGCTCCTCTGAGGCCCTGCAGATAAGGGGAAACCACAACCAGGGTGCCTGTGGGGTGCTTTCCAGCCAACCGAGCACCCCCCTCACTGACATCAGTCTTCCCTTCCTCATGCCCCACCCTCGCAGGGAGAAGAGCAAGTTGTTCCTGCCCTCATCCGGGCACCTGAAACAGTTCACCTCCCCGACCACAGAACTGGAGAACCACTCGCTGCCGCTGAAGGTAAGCCCAGGCCACCGGCGAGAGTCAGACCAGGGCCTCCAGGAGTGAGGACAGAGCAGCATTTGGAACTGCTTGTTGCACTGAATCAAAGCACGTGTGTGGTACCCAGGGTGCTCCTCAGAGCTCCTCAAGTAGGGGCAGAGGGGGGTGGGGAAGAGAAGAGAGAGCGCGGGACAGAGCTGCTGTTAAGGGTGGGGCTCGTGCTGCGAGAGATGCAGGACGAAAACTGCTTCAGTGAAGGAAATGCACGTCCGCGTGCGCCAGCTTGGAAATGCACCAGAAAAGGATGGACGCGACAAGAATACACCGAAAAAGGCCAGCAGCGATAGAACCTAGGTGCTGAGTGTTTGGGTGTCCTGGACAATCCTTTCAACTTCGCTGGATGTTTGGAAATAAATGTTAGGAAGTAACACTGTGTAGGTGACAGACGTGGACGGGATTGCAGGCTCCGCGCGTGTCTGAGTGTGCCGTCCGGGTGTGCCACAGAGCGCCTTGTCTTCAGAGGCTTGTAAGGCCACCCACAGGCCAGGGGCCCCAGGGGCTTCTGAGGGTCATTTTCAAGTGGGGTTTGTGTCTGTGCTGATTTCTAAAGGTCACAGGCCACTCTGTTTTCTCTGTGGAAGAGTTGGAATAGACTTTGTCACCTAAGAAAAGGACTTACTGGTCTACTTAATTGACACAAATGATCAGACTGAGAAGAAGAAATGGGCAGCTTGAATGGACATATAACAGGTAAAGATACTGAACTGCTGATTTTAAATTCCCCACAAAGAAAATCCCAGACCCTCATGACTTTATTGGTGAATTCTACCCGATATTTTAAGAAAAAAAAATTATGCACAAACTCTCAGAAAATAGAGGAGGAAGAAACACTTCCCAACGCATTCTGTGAGGCCAGCACATAATACCAAGGCCGGACAATGTCACCAAAAGCAGATTAGCAGAAGCCAGTATCACCCATGGACATAGAGGCAAATACCATTAACAACACATTAGCGAACCAAATGAGTCCCATATATGCAGGGTCGCACACCACGACTAGGAGAGGTCTGCTCCAGGAATGCAGGGTCGGCCTGACACCTGAAAATAAAGTACAATAAGCACATGACATGTCAATCAGAAAGAGCATTTGTTAATAACACATTCATGATAAAAACAATTTCACAGCTGAGAGGGAGAAACACCCTCAGTCTGATCAAGAGACTGACGGCACTGACAGTGAACACGTATTCGCTCCCATCAAACGCTTTCCCCTTGAGACTGGGGCCAAGGTAAGAATGTCCATTCCACACTTCTCTTGGACATTTTACTAAAGTTCCAGGTGGTGCAGTAGAGAGAGAATTCTAAATTAAAGGCATATAGATTTGAAAGTGAAACTGCACTTAACTACATGACCCTAACAAGTCTGCAAAAGAGCTCGTAGAATTCAGGTTGCCTGGCCAGGTGGTGGGATACAAAATC